GGCCTTCAGAACTGTCTGACTTAACACTCATTTAGAATGTATTCGACACCACAAAATCGGTGGTGTACTTTCGGCCAGTAATAGAAAAAAATTTTTTATTTTCGACACTTTTTGTTTAGATTCTTAAGGATCACTATTCTCTATGAGCCGTTGGTTTCTTCTTTTTTTAGTTTATTCTTTTTTTCTTTTAAGTCTGATCTATGTTAACGAAGTTGGATTTCTGTTTTTTAATTCTAAAATGAACATCTATATACTTTTTCATAGAATTATAAGTGCTTCGGTCTGTTCTCTGCTTGTCTTCTCGGGGTTTTGGTTGACCTGCCCTCGCAGTTGTCTCGGTTCCTTCTCCGCTCCCCGAATAGCTCGTGCGGCTTCGGTGTCATGTTTTATGTGTGCGCTGCACTTGTCGCATTTCGCACAGGTCATGCGGTTGTTTTTTTTTCGTATTGTTAAAGCTTAGCCAAGTAATTTTTTGACAAATTATATCTCTTTACACCACTTTTACTTTCTTATTTTAACGTGTGCGCTGCACTTGTCGCATTTCGCACAGGTTATGCGGTTGTTTTTTTTTCGTATTGTTAAAGCTTAGCCAAGTAATTTTTTGACAAATTATATCTCTTTACACCACTTTTACTTTCTTATTTTAACGTTTTAGATTAGACTTTTATTACGCATTAGCGGAAGTGTGACCCACAGTTGATTCGCGTTAGAAGATAATGGAAGATAGGACTGGTTTCGGAACGAGTCGTTTATTCTACCAAGCGGACGCTGTCCGCTAGATAATTGATTCTTAGGGCTAGAGTCGGCGGACTTCCGAGTCCGCTGAGTGGGGGTCTCATATTACGGGTAGCTTTCACGAGGTTGCTGACCGATATGACGCATCGTCATAGGCCAAGTGATCGAACTGGAGTTCGGCGGTCTTATACACCACTTATAGATTTGATCGAGTTCTCGTATTGGAGAAGTAATCATAGCTGTTGAGTCTGGTATTTCGACGGAGCTCATTGAACTTTCCATCTCGGAGATCAGGGTGGTGGCTGTAAGAGTTGTACTTGGAAGTTCCTATATCACACCACTATCAAACAGGTCTATTTGCCAAAGCCTTCTTAACGCTATCTTAACGCGTTCTTGGCGACTTTAATCTTCCAGATATTGATTGGTCATCGGCAATGAATTCAAACATTCTGTTGCCCTCTTCGTCAAATGAATTTATTAATGGTCTACATGAGATATCCTTCCGGGAGGTTGATCGGGGCCACAATTCAAAAAATAGATCTCTTGATCTGATCTTCGTGTTTGATTCGTTCGACAGTGCTGTGCACAGGATTGACCCGCTTAGACTTCCTGAAAACCCTTTTCATCCAACTTTGGATTTGGTCATTGATCTATCAGCGCCGTTGTTTCCGAAAGGCTGATTTTCGTAAGCTATATTATCTAATTCTGCAATTCCATTGGTCCCACCTGAGCAATCGTGCAGACATTGATGATGCCATTAAACTATTTTCTAATACATTGTACTCGCTCTTTAATATCTTACTCTTGATCACCCAGCGAGGTCTGATAGGCCTCCCTGAAATGAAATTTAAAAGTGTGAAGTCGAGGTGTTATAAAAAGTTTAAGAAATCGGGAAATCATTCTGATTTCTCCCGCTATGCAGTTGCCCAATCAAATTTTTCCACCCAAAATTCCATCTGTTATAAGAATTACCGTTGCCGTTGTCGCCTTCAATTTGCACATAATCCTAAGTACTTTTTCGTTTAAGCTTGCAAATGAGAGCGCGAATACTTATCCAGTCTTTGCCGATCTGTTCGCAAACTTTTTTGAAACTACCCACTGTTCCTCTAGGTATGATAAAAATCAGCCTTATCCTCATGAGTTACAGATGTCAAACTGCATGCTAAATCCTATTATGATTGAAAGTTGGCTACTCAGCAATCTTAACACTATCAAGCCGGCTTAGTCCCCGAACCCATACTATGATAACCTATCTTAAAACTTTTTGAATTGTTTGTAAACAAAACACTTTAGACTGACGTCATCTATACTGATTTAGTTAAGGCTTTCGACTCTGTCAACAACTCCTTACTGCTTCATAAATTATGAATTCTTAGCTTACCAGTCAATCTCTTGAACTGGATTTCAGACTATTTGCGTAACAGAACCCAAAAGGTTCTTTTCAGAAATTCCTTCAAGTTAATCATCTTGGCCCGCTTCTCTTTACTCTTTTTATCAGTGACCTTCCTTCGATACCTTCTCACTCTTAAGTATTAATATTAAAATTATGCCTTGCATATAAAGATATGGCATCATATTATCTTTTACAAGCCGATATTGATGCGTTTCAGGCTTGGTGTCTAGCCAACCTCTTAAATTTGAATTGCTCCAAATGTAAGGTAATGACTTTCTAAAGCAGCTCTTCACAATTGGTTTCTTACAACATTGGTAGCTTACTGCTCCAGCGTGTCAACAGCACCTGATGTCAATGATCTAAATGTTATTCTTGACATAAAGTTCAATTCGAGTCTCATGTTACGACCGTTGTCAATAAATCCGGAATTGTGTTGGGTTTCATCAAGCCATGGTCAAACGAGGTTCATTGGAATCTTCGTGTGCGGTTACCGACATACTCCAGTAGATTTCTGATAATTAGCCTTCCTACTTTAATTAATCGCAGAACCATGCTTGGTGTAATATTTTTACATAAGCTAAGTACGGGTGTAATCGACTCTCTTGGGTTGACTAGCAAATTAAACTTCTCTATCCCTACTAGTTTAACACGTAATTCTACACCTTTATCACTTCAATTTTGCTCAAAAAACTATGCCATTCATGTGCTATTATAGAGTATTCTGCTCGCATTCTTCGCTTCCTTTTATAAAGTCTTTTATACTTAACTTTTTAGGATGTAGATAGTCGTACGTTACACGACTGCGCCCCTCGGTCGGTTGGGCGGGAGGTGGGATGCAGTAAATTGCATCAAGATTCGCGCTAAAAAAAGAAAACTGCAGCAAAGCACAACTCAAAGTGGGGATGAAATAAATACAGCGTTGGAGCTCAGAAGAAAGTCATATTTCAACTGGCAATCATTTTTCTCTGGGATCAGAAGAACCAACGACACCGTTAGGGTTGAATATTTATGTTTTCTGTATTTTCTTTTCCCTTACACACACAGTAAAGGAAATGCATTATTGAACAAAATCTTTCTTTACTTCGAGCTTGTTTCAGTAAGTGTGCCATTTTCACCGGCTAAATAAACCATCCTTGTCACTAGATATCACCCTCTTTCGCACTGTTACCCAACAGTACGGATACCCATCCGACATACCTGGTGTTGCAGCCCATTTAAAATATCTAATACGTGGAAATGTGTGTAACAGACAGAAGGAAGTATCTCCGACATCATAGAGTGTATGTATTCTTATTTAGCATCGATAGCCGAGTCGATCTAACCGTGACTGTCTTTCCGCGAGTTCGTGTGTATGAAAATGTCGAAATCATCGATAACGTGCCTCGTGTTCAGGCAATCGATCTTTTCGCATTTTTCTATTATTAAAAATTAAGCTCTCAGTCGAAATAAGTTCTACTAAAACGAACACAAATTAGGCAGTTCAGCTATCTAAAAAACAAAAAATTTTAATTTACTATGTCCTACTATGTCGTAATAATTTCATTTAACTATACATTGACAGGCGTCGAATTTCTTCTACAAAAATTGATCTAGGCTTGTGGTATTTTAAGATTAAGTAACAGGTTTTCTTTCGGTAATGCTGTATATTCAGTATATTCAACCTATTTTTAAAGGTGATCGTAAATATATGAAATAGCACAATAGTTTGGGATTTTTCAATAAAAACAAATTTAATTAAAGTTATAAGTTTATTGTTAGAAGATTTTGTGGTTATTAAATTCGAAAAAATAAATGATTAACTTTTTTTCTTAGTTTAAATATTAATTTAATATTACATAGCTTATTAAGATCGAAAAACTGCATTTACTTTTAAGCATTAAGAATATTCTATAAGAAATATAAATATTTGTTCAATTATTTGCTTGAAATTCTTGCATGGTATTATGAATATTGCTTTAAATTGCATAGTTTTACTATTTTAAAAATTGTGGAGATTATTATTATTATTATCACATGATTTTCATTTACAGGCAAGAGATTTTACAAATGTTTTCTAGCTATAGAATTGTGCTGAATAAACAAAAAGCTTTTTAAAAATCATTATGGATGAAAACATATAAATAGATTGCCAAATATTTTCATTATATATTATGTGTACTATACATTTATTACTTATAAAAATGCTGTCCTACGACTTTCAAGATTTAAAATCGATATAAACGGTACAAATACTCAGATTATCAATAGGCTTGATTTTATTCAAACGTTATTCAAAAGATCAACATTTATTAATTTTATTTTGGTTAGCACAACAGATCGGTTATGTTTGAATTTTACAACCTACTGTCAATTTAATTGAATTCATGCGGCAAAAAGTTGATTTACAAACCGCAAAACGAATTTTTTTTTCTGTTTAAAGTAAGGGGTTAAATTCATTCTATTTAAAAGAGGTAAGGTGTAAGTCGTACAATGAGTATAATTTTTTCCAACAGCTGAATAAGTCCTGCAACGATAATCTAGGCTAAGCCTTTAACACTTATCAAAATTTGACCAAGAGATACCCTGACCTCCTAATAATATAGAATTGAACTGATTAAAAAATAGTCATTATTCTTCGTGTGAAATCTCCTCCTTAAAAAGGGAAGCCTTTTTTAAGTTTTTATTGACGACTTATAGGCTATAATGAAAAATTCTGTGAATAATGAATTTTAAAAAAATTGAGAAAATACTGCAAATGATTTATGTATTCGAAAGCCTATTTAGGGTATCCCATAGTCAATCTAAAAAAAGTGCATTGGGTTACTGATATAAATGTTGTTTTATAATGTCAAGCTACTTAGAAGTCATTAAATGTTAAAAATACTGAATCATGTATAAGTATAAATATCTCTTTAATTGCTTACATTTTTACTATATGTATAAAAAGAATTAAGTAATTCTGTCCGTGCTTAAAATAAAACTTTTCACACCATAATATTACAACTTTGAACCCCTTTTTTTGCAATTTGGTATTAGTTTCTAAGAATACAAATTAGTGTGAGCATATATAACGATAATAGTTTTTAATGATTTCATGAGCTCATTTATAAATTGTGTGCGCTTGATGGCTTGATTACTTGAATTTTATTTGGCGTTATATGTTAACTTTGAATTATTTTCACTGGAAACAAGGTTAAGAGGTACAGATAGTTCTTCGCCTGCATGGGTTTCATTAAACTCAAGCAAAGATTGTGATTTTGTTCGTTTTAATATAACATTTTTGAGTGTTTCTGCCGTTCCTACTGTCTCAGATATTTCCGATTTGTATTTCTGAAAATAAATAAAATTAAAATTAGTATAAGTTAAATGAAAGGAAAAACACTTTTGTTTCATTATTTGTTATTTTTTTTTTTTAAACATGTAAATAAGCTAACACGATTACCCACCAACAGAGCAGGGCTCTAAGCAAGCACGCATTAGTGGCGTGTTCCGTTTATTTTATCCGATATACGATACCATGCACGACGTAAATTATCAGGGACTTTAGGACAAAGTGCTAGCTTACATTATAAGAAATTATGTTCTTTAGAGATAGTTAAATTTTGGACAATAACCCATTCCGAACCTACGAGCTCCTAAACTTCTTAAGTGGCGCCTAACGGTAAAAGCATATAACGTCACCACCTACGGCGACAACTAAAAAATGTATACAACTAAAGCAGCATTAATCAACTCCTCCGAGCCAGTGGAAGAACAAAAACAAACATATGCTGTTTACAGGAATTAAATAAGAGCATAGAAGTAGACCGCTCAATGATATTCTCTCATTTAACATAGCAAACAAAGCTATTACAAAGCTAATTTCCCAATCTTTGTGTAGTAAAAATAAATAAAAATCTAAATATACATATGCGTGAAGTAGACTAAAAGATTTACTCGAAGAGTTAAAAAAAAAAACCAGCAGTAGGGACTACATACATTATCAGTGCGAATTGTTGGAAATCGGACAAAAAGACTTAAATATGACAGAGTTTCCAGGCCAATTGCACACAATAATAGAAACCGCATTTAAGAATACGCTTGCCGCTTAGACAACCATTTTTGAGGCAGAAATACAACAACTCAAACAACGTTTAGGCAGTATCCGTGTCGAACCTCGAGAAGTAGAAATATACAGGGACGGTAGCTCAAAAAACGATTCCATGCAGTGAAATCTTAGATATTTTAAAATCTTTGGCAGAATTTGAGGGAAAACATGAGACATAGGTCTCATGAATAAAAGTGGCGTACACCGCTTAAAAAAGTTAAGAAAAATACGACGGTTATTTGAAACATAATATAATGGGTACATATATACATATACATATAAACATTTGCGTCCAGCTGACATAGTACTAGTGTCATTCGGCACGCATTAAATTTCAAAGCTATAATACATTTTCAACAGAACAAGAAATGTCGACGCTCCAGCAAGGAAATCTGACACTTTTGCAATACTATGACGAAGTAGAGAAAATATTTACTCTACTAACGAACAAAACAATCATGATTTACGACAACACCATAGCTGTCACAGTCATCTCACTAGAAACGTTAAGCAATGTATGCTTAATATAAATTATTATTATGCTGAGACTGTAGAAAGTTTTAAGGAAACGGTGACAATAGACCAAAGATAGAAGATCTATAAAAGATAATGGTAGTGCCCACAATAAAAATTTCCAAGTAGGAAATAATTGCAGGGGCTCTATTAAATAAGAGCCTGGGAAATAAACATACACCTTTGTACAATGAAGAAACAGTGGATGCGGACCACATAAAGTGGCTCATAAGGATAATGTGAGATAGCTAAAAAAAAATTTTCTTTTCTAACGGACACCTCAGGGTCTGAACTAAGCTACTTTTTGTCACAATGACATCGACTTAACTAACTGACTACTAGAACATGGACAACAACCTGGTTATATTTGGAGACACGACAATTTGGGAAATTTTTTCAATATTTAGAGCACTCGACTAACTTAACAATGTAGGCGGAAATAACTAGCGGAATAGCGAACTTTAAGAATAATTTTCCTCAATCGTAAATAAGACAGATACTGGACTCGAGCATACGACATATGAAACCACTCCTAACAAAAATAAATAACCATCATTGGCACGCCAGAAGCATCAATCTATTAGGCACCGTTTTACAGAGACTTCGGACTTTGATTACTTTTAAAGAACACAAATGACAACAGAAGTTCATTGAATTTGAAAATAGATGAGTAAACATCAACACAAAAATACTAGAACAGTTATATAAACTAACAGAAGCAGTAAATATTCTAATAAAATAAGCCAAGTTAATACAGATAAACACCAAACATTGCTTTAAAGAAATAGGATATAGATTTAGAAACATGAAACTCTAATTCTATCTGATACACTCACAAAGATTGGAAATAATAACCCAACCATATTAGACTCCACTGATTTACAAAACATAATCAATGAGAGTTCTACGAGCATAACCATCTGACTTGATGAATGTAAGCCAAATGAAGGTTTTATTAAAAACCAAAACCTGAACCCATTAAAAATGTGTTAAAGGCGTATATTGTATTTGTGCAAATGTATGTAACGGGAAGAAGGAAGTATCTCCGACCCCATAAAGTATATATATTCTTGATCAGCATCAACAGCCGAGTCGATCTAGCCATGTCGGTCTGTCTGTCTGTCCATCCGTCCGTCTGTCCGTCTGTCGGTATACATATATCAACGCAAGGATCTCAGGACCTATAAGAGCTAGAAACTTGAAATTAGCTGTAGGTCGTCCTAGTCCATGCGCAGATCTAGTTTGTTTCCGATATTCGATATCTTCCCTCGTTTCCAAGTAATCGATAAAAATCGATATCGAAATCCTGTTTTCTGAGCAATTTTGGTAAATAATAAGAGCTAGAGTCACCAAACTTGACATGTAGCTTCTTGAATAGTATAGATATATCAAGTATCTTTCATTTTATAGCTACCACTACCTCCCAGCTACTACCTCATAGCTATAAATCAAGTAAAAACGCCAATTTATGCCTCCCAGAAATAAAAGCCACAATTTAAATGCAGTTGACTTTTTGGTAAGCACAGAAATGATTAAAGAAAACGTGTTTTCACTTTTCTCCTATCAGCGGCAAAAACAAAAAGAATTTTGGTATACATGTACACACACACATTCATGCGTGTCTTCTTTGAATTCTAACAGCATTGCAATTGCGATTGTATTGTTTTCTGTGCTGTTATTTTAATTCGTTTTTTTCTCATGAAAACTCAATTATTGGCTTGGCTGTTGAGTAGAGGCGGCGGTAAGTAGTGCGGTCAGATGCGTGTTCGAACCCCATCGAGGAGACTAATTTTATTTTTTTCGCTGGTGTGGCTGTTAAGTAGATGCGGCAGCAAGTAATGCGGTCAGTTGCGAGTTCGAACTCTGGCAAGGAAACTTTGTTTTTTCAAATTTATCTTTATTATTACTAAAGCAAACGAGCGCGTAGTGCGAGTTGCATTTGGGGTTGGAATAAGGGGGTTCAGGGTATCCCCTAGTCGGGAGCTCCCGACTAGAATCCCTTACATGTTATATATTAATAGCGGGCATTCCCCGACGCGTAAACGAGTTGCGTATGAAAATAAGTTTGAAGACAATTGGACAAAACTTAAAACTTTGCCCTTATAATCTTTCTTCAAGGTTGCATTTATCCAAGCGATGCGGATTTTGCGAAAAATGTCAAACGCGTCTTAAATTATGTTCACAAAGATCTCTGAAGATTATTTTATTATTTTTGACAAACCGCAATTTTATTTCATTTAGGAATTTTGTAGGGCTTCGATAATACATTTGACACCAACCAGATTAAACTTAAAATTTCGCCCAAAATATCTTTGAAGCGCATTTTTTGTCTAGGATGCTTGGATTCTGCGAAAAATGTGAAACACGTCTCAAATAATTTCTCATCTGACAGCAAGTCAAGAGATATAAAAATATATTGAAAAGATATGTTATCTCTTTAGATAAAACTGTTTGTCCTGACTGACTGACTCACAGATTGACAGATTGGTGATCAACGCACAGCCCAAGCTGAAATTTTCACTATAGTTACCTTATGTGATGAAGGTGCACTTTAAGACGGGGTTTTGGAAAATTTCCCCCGCATTTCTGGGAAAATCGCGAAAAACGTTTGTATGAAACTTTTTTGTTTACCATCCGATCGGCTTCAAACTCATTTTCAGAGAACTTTGTTCAAATTCATTTGAGGGGTGCTTCATACTTTTTGGAAAATCCATCCCTCCTGGTGGAAATGGGAGCCAAAGGTTTGGTGAGGACTTTTCGTGTTCAAATTTATTTCCAAAGGTTTATGCGAAGAATCATTTGAGACGTGTTTCACACTTTTCGCAGAATCTAACCTTCCTCGGTGGTTTCTTTACTTTGGCAAGGTGATAGCAGGTGCACAAAAGAATTTTGACATTTGCTCCATTTAGTTTGTGTTGAACTGCTATATTTATTGCTACGCGTCTTTTAATATTCAATACTGATACGAAGTGCTGATAAAAACAATTTTGGTTAGTAAATTTGTTTAGCTATGGGTAAAACAAATGAAATAATTGAATTTGTTTAAAATGATTTGGTGAAGCATAACTCTGGTGTTTCCGTAGAAAATATCAGTAAATTATAAAACAACCCCGCCAAACAGTATATTATCAAATAAATATAAAAAAAATTAGGATACAAGCGGCTATGCTTTTTTTATGAGTTGTTCTTGTCATTATTACAAAAACTTTAAATAATTTAAATGCCTCTATCAGCCTGTTAAATGGATAATAATATAAACTCCATTACTTACCTTAAATACTAAATTTGAAAATGTGGGTGTCTCCTCTGCCAAGGACATATCCGATTTCTTGCATTCGATGGGGCTATTATCCCTTTCATATTCTGCTACAGTAGTGCCGGGTATTTGCCTATTTCCTGTTCATCATTATTAAAATAAAAAATGTGTTTAGTACAAAATTTGATTAAATTGAACTACAATTTTAATGGGTATTATTCTAAGGAAAGAGTGTTGCAACCGATAGTGACATAAACACACACACGTAAAAGCCGCAATTTACAACGTGGAAACAATGAAATTTTAATTTTATTATGTTTTGTGTATATATCTCTTATATGAGTTAAGAACAGCGAATACAAATAGAAAGTACTAAAGCACTCAGCCCAAAGATCACGGCCAAGGTACATAACCAATAATCGACACGTACGCCAAGTCAGAGCATTCGCCACCGTGCTTTACAGCCTGGACACCCGACACTAACCAATTGGCTGGGAGCGTCAAAGCGGCAAAGGCAATAGCAGCGGCAGCGGCGACAAACCTACCGCAATAAGACGGTAGTAGTTTATTTTTTTTAAAATTTTTAACTATTGTTTTATTTATGTTACTTTAATAAAACCTAGGCAGAAAACCGTAAAATGTATAGTGCACCCAACTTTATTACAAAAAATTTAATGTTTCATACTACATATACAATTTCTTAGCAAACACGCATTTATTGGATTATCTTTCGCTATTGATTCTGGCGCCTGGCAGATAATTTCCCGGAGTTTATTGATAAACTGTTCGTTTTTTGTTGGCGCACTATTGGCTATTATTCCAGCGCTTGTTGCCCAACTTCTCAACATTTATTGGACATATATTTATTAACATTTCGGCCTGGGCCTTTGAAATTTGAATATTGCTGTGGACAGTTCCCAAAATGTACTTAAAAGTATCCGTTCTTTCCTTTTCGAATAAAAGAGGCGGAAGACACGGTATTCGCATGAGAAACGCTTGGCTGAAATCATTCGAATCTGCCAGCGACATATCGGGCAAAAGCTGATCCCATAAACTCTAAATTGCGCAAACATGGTCCTTACCGTTTGCTGGACCTTCTGGATTCTCTTGAGACCAATAAGGGGCAGTATTTTGGATATTTAGACCCAAGGACTCCAGAAAGGACATGAAAAGCCTCCCAGTTTTCTGATCAACCTCAGTTTTGCCAGGCGCTTGCCATTCTATCGTCTGTCTCACCATCGCACTAAGACCATACTCACTCGCATAGGTCTGCAAGACGAACTTATCCAAAAATTCGGAGCGGGTAAGGTACTCAAACCGTCGGCTAGCACCCATCAGAGATCCTGCAAGCGCAGTGTCTCTTTAGTATTATTTGGTTGTTACGCAAACAACAGCCTTCATGTTACTCCCCGAGTGGCTCCAAATTTCTATACAGTTTTGGTCGACTTTTCGTAGAAATCTACTTCCCATTTCTGTTCGACGCCAACAAAGTTTGGGTGATCTTTTTCACTTATGACAAATTTTTATTTTGAATATAGAATATAGTAAAGATATCTTAATGATGACATTCTTTTATAAAATTAACAATATATTATATCTATATAAATATATATAATTCGTTCAAAATATTTTTTCGATCAACAATTTTTTTTTTATCTAAATTACAATTTATTATTTCTATAAGACTTACATAATTCGTTCAAAACTATTAATACCAATAGTATATGAGTTTCATTTAAAACAAAATTTATGGGGCACATTATGCCTTCGAGTCGACTTGACTAATGACTTACGAATAACGCATGTTATGCTTGCCCCTCTACATCGGTCCATCGAACCCCAAAGCTGGGTGCCGGCCAAATTGCAAACGCTGCATTTTTGCGCGAGCGACATTCTTACGGTTGCCACTTAGAACTTGGCCGATCCTATTTGAAGTCCACATATACATATGCACAACATACACTATACTTGCACATACACTTATATAGTCAAATAAAGCATATATCATATGTCTACGGCACTCATATCCAACTCCTTTTTCAAAAGCCTTAGCAACTAAGCGAACCAACCGAAAATTGTAACAACAAACCTTAGAAGCCCAAACATAAAATTCTTGGTGACGATAACAATTCTGGCGTGAGACCAACCATACAACATAGAACCATTAGACATAAACATCCGGCACAATCGATATTCCCACCAAATGCGCAAATTGCCAACGCAGCTCAAATCATAAAGAGAATAAACAATGAGAGCATTGTCCAAAGAGAGAGCGTTCATGATCTTTAAAGCTCATAGACGAGGTTTGCTAAGCGTTGACAACAGTTTACAGTTTGAGTTTTACTGACGCATCCGAACCGTCAATTCGAATATTCTATTCGTGTAAATTCCGTTTAGCCGCGCATTGTTTTAAAAATAAAGTAATATTTTTTTAAAGCAACGCATACCGATTTATCTAATTGGCGCTGTCGGATACGCTAGTGAAATATAAGACCATTAAAGGACAATTGTATTCCCAGGCCTTAAATGCAAATTTAAGCCGTCGAAACAATTGTGCACGAAAAGCAAATTTGTTCGAATTTGTATCCGCAAAAGGACAATCGCGAAACTTGCCGCGAGTGCCTACTGACCGTTCATGGATCAAAGTAAAACAAAAAAAACAATACCAAGACAAACTACCAAACAACAATAAACAATCACACAAAAAAAATCTATTATAATACTAATTAAAAATCGGTCTTGGCGCCCAACGGCATCAAATAAATTAGCCCACACCGAAAGTTGTTCTTAATAACTTTTCCAAAGAAAAGAACATCGCGAAACGTATTTTGCCGCGAGTTTCATTCTCAAAAAAAGTGATAAAAATCATTAGCAAAGAATACAAAACAACATAAAAAAAATAAATATAAAACACCAGCAATAGCTGAGCGAGTGAACAGACAAACACCAATAAAAAAAATTAAAATCCCAGCAATAGCTGAGCGACTGAAAAGACAAACAGCAATATAAAATAAAAACTCCAGCAATAGCTGAGCGAGTTAATCAACATCAATACTAAACTGCTACGCAACTGCATCGGCTACCAGATTTTGAGGGCCCAGCTATTTTAAACAAACATGTCAGTGTGGTGCTTATTTTTCTTTCACAATTCAAAGCGATAAAAAGAAAAAAAAAGATTTTTCAAAAAAATTATCACAAAGCTGTCTAACATAAGATTGGCATATCAAAAGAAAATATAGAAATATTAAAATTCAAATAAAATAAATACTTATTTTATTACTTGTAATTAAAACATTCTGCTTCATCGCTAGGCTTTTTAGGTAAATATCGAATTTTCCAAAAAAAAAAAGCAACAATATTTTTGCTTCAAAGTGATCTGGATTTCACGGTCTAAGCGATTGCGGAGCGTACGAAGGTCAGGCGATAGCAGCGAAGACGAGCTTATTCCTTCCTATTTAGAATACAGATCAGTAAACGAAATGAACAGTGAAAAGGTAGCACAGCTAGAAGCGCAAATGCAACCCCGCAAATAAAAGTTTACCAAGAAATAAAAATAGTGCCAGGGCTCAGATGCGACGAACCCTTAGATATCATAAAGAAAACAGGAAAACTATGTCTCATCGAGACAGGCCGGCTGCGCCGCCTTGTGTTTGAGCCATATGATGGCAGCTCAAAACACTATCAGGCCGTGGGCACAATCCGCCATAATGTAAGGGGTTCAGCGGATGCAGTGCTTGCTTCAATTAATACAGTGTTGAACTTTAAGGCGATCATTGCTAGATTTTATTTTACGTTTGCCGACAAAACGCCAGTGCACGTGATCCTACAACAACTAAGCACGCTTAGGCAAGGTGACCTTCCATTGTTAAAATACTACGATGAAGTCGAGAAAAAACTTACATTACTAACGAAAAAGACCTTAATGACACATTGCGGCGCCGCATCGGCTGTCCTAAACGGAAAATTCAGGAATGATGCTCTCCATACTTTTGTCTCGGAATTAAGAAAGTCCTTGAGATGGTCCGATTTCCCACCACAACCTCAAGACCTACCAACTGCTTTGGCTCTAGCTCAAGAAGCTGAGTCAAGCAACGAAAGAGGCATCTTTGCAGCCAACTTCGCAAAGAAGCAACGAAAGAGGCATCTTTGCAGCCAACTTCGCAAAGCACCTTGTAGAAAAACTCCAAAAGTCTAGTGGCCAAAAGAATCAAAACTGGCGTCAGAACGCTCAGCAGGAGAATGATGGTGACTCTCAGAAAAAAAACTTTCGATGGCATAATTGGCCTTGATCTGCTAAAACAGATTAACGCTCAAATTGATTTGACTAACAACATTATAAAGTATGACCGGGGGACAGAAAAAATTGAGTTCACAACATGCAAACAAGTGAACCATTTCCAAATTAGTGACGCGGATGTTCCCGCCGCAGTCAGACCCACTTTCAATCAAATGATTGACCGAATGGCTAAAGCCTTTGCAGACATTAATGAGTCCCTACCATACAACATAAACACTATCGCCACAATCCGAACGGACGGCGGTATATTCCAAATTATACCCATACCCAATGGGTGTGTCTGAATTGTTCAATGCAGAAGTTAAACAACTACTGGCGAACAGCATAATTAGACCCTCAAAGTCACCCTATAACAACCCAATATAAATCGTCGATAAAGAAGGTGTCGACGAATCAGGCCACAAGAAGAAACGTCTGGTTATTGATTTTCGTCAGTTAAATGAAAAGACAATCGACGATAAATACCCTATCCCGGCAATTTCGACCATATTGTCAAACATAGGTGAGGCCCAGTATTTCATAACACTGGACGTCACCAAAAAGAGTTGGCGGAAAGGGACAGAGAAAAGACTGCATTCTCTGTAAACAATGGGAAGTACGAATTTTGCAGGCTTCCATTTGGGCTGAAAAACGCCCCTAGCAATTTCCAGAGGGCAATAGATGACGTCCTCAGGGACCAAATCGGGAAAACTTGTTACGTCTATGTAGATGACGTAATAATTTTCTCCCCTAACAAGGAAGACCACATCAAGCACATCGAATAGGTCTTGAAAAGCCTTAGGGACGCAGGCATGAGGGTTTCCAAAGAATATTTGGAATTTACCGTATGCAGAGGCGGAATCC